TGCAGGCTCTGATAAGCTCCTCCCACAGCTAATCACCTGCCTCAACAGAAACCCTGCCCCCTCTGACCTTTGCACAGGGAGAACAGCTAATCAGCCACAAAGAAACACACACACACACACACACACACAAGAAAACCCTTTTTGCTCCTTCTTCAACTGCTGCCCTGCAGGCTCTGATAAGCTCCTCCCACAGCTAATCACCTGCCTCAACAGAAACCCTGCCCCCTCTGACCTTTGCACAGGGAGAACAGCTAATCAGCCACAAAGAAACACACACACACACACACACACACACACAAGAAAACCCTTTTTGCTCCTTCTTCAACTGCTGCCCTGCAGGCTCTGATAAGCTCCTCCCACAGCTAATCATCTGCCTCAACAGAAACCCTGCCCCCTCTGACCTTTGCACAGGGAGAACAGCTAATCAGCCACAAAGAAACACACACACACACACACACACACACAAGAAAACACTTATTGCTCCTTCTTCAACTGCTGCCCTGCAGGCTCTGATAAGCTCCTCCCACAGCTAATCACCTGCCTCAACAGAAACCCTGCCCCCTCTGACCTTTGCACAGGGAGAACAGCTAATCAGCCACAAAGAAACACACACACACACACACACACACACAAGAAAACCCTTTTTGCTCCTTCTTCAACTGCTGCCCTGCAGGCTCTGATAAGCTCCTCCCACAGCTAATCATCTGCCTCAACAGAAACCCTGCCCCCTCTGACCTTTGCACAGGGAGAACAGCTAATCAGCCACAAAGAAACACACACACACACACACACACACACACACACAAGAAAACCCTTTTTGCTCCTTCTTCAACTGCTGCCCTGCAGGCTCTGATAAGCTCCTCCCACAGCTAATCACCTGCCTCAACAGAAACCCTGCCCCCTCTGACCTTTGCAGAGGGAGAACAGCTAATCAGCCACAAAGAAACACACACACAAGAAAACAATATGACATCCTCAAACTAGAGGCATGTGAATCTGTTGATTGTGGCTTCTCTCAGTTTCTCATTCTTCTCATCTTAAACTCAGCTCTCCAGATTTCCACATCAGTCTCCAGATTATTATTATTTTAAGTTCTCATTTTAGTGCAAATTTATCTTAATGTACACATTTTTGCGTAGGTTTCCCTTAACACATTTTTTCGGAAAGCAGTTTTCCTTAATGTTGCTATGATCTTCTGGGTGCCAGGCCACTATAAATTCCTGGATCTAGTAAGTGTTAGAATTTAAACAAGGCTTGGGGTGTTAAACTGGGTGCCAGACACCCTAGTCCTAGTAAATGTTAAAAGCTAATCAAGCCAGGCTAGCTTCCTGTGTTCAGGAAATCACCTAGGTGATGGGCCATTAAGAGAACCAAGGAAGAGGAGGCTCTGTGTGAGACGGCAAATGGGTGGGGCCCATACCACCACCCCAACTTGCAGATACTGAGAAAAGCCAAAGTTTACAGCTGAAAGTATGTGTAATGTGACCTAGAGGTAAAGCTGCAGGCTGTAAAGCCAGAGAGGCACAGTGTGATGTTTGATGTCTATTTGAATCCAAGGCTGTGTCTATGGGAGAAACAAGACCCTATTGGAATGTTAGTGCTGTGAATCCCTCCATCGTAGGCTCGTGTTGTATTTATGTTTAATTAAAACATATGCACACTTTACCTTAATGTCCATTTTTACAGACATTACTTGACTGGAGACGTGCACAACAAAATTCAGAGAAGTGGATTTAGTAAGGCAGATTGTTGTTCATTTCACATATTGTTTCGGAAAGTGTGAATTAGGCAGGCTCATCTTAAAAAGCAGAGACATCACCTTGCCAACAAAGGTCCGTATAGTTAAAACTATGGTTTTCCCAGTAGTGATGTATGGAAGTGAGAGCTGGACCATAAAGAAGGCTGATCGCCGAAGAATTGATGCTTTTGAATTATGGTGCTGGAGGAGATTCTTGAGAGTCCCATGGACTGCAAGAAGATCAAAACTATCCATTCTGAAGGAAATCAGCCTTCAGTGCTCACTGGAAGGACAGATCGTGAAGCTGAGGCTCCAATACTTTGGCCACCTCATGAGAAGAGAAGACTCCCTGGAAAAGACCCTGATATGGGGAAAGATGGAGGGCACAAGGAGAAGGGGACGACAGAGGACGAGATGGTTGGACAGTGTTCTCGAAGCTACCAGCATGAGTTTGACCAAACTGCGGGAGGCAGTGGAAGACAGGCGTTCTCTGGTCCATAGGGTCACGAAGAGTCGGACACGACTAAATGACAACAACATCTTATATGTGATCTGAAGCAGATTTGTGCCCAATTCTAGGCCTGCCATATGTCTGGATTTTCGTGGACATTACCGGGATTTCAAAGGTGAAATTGAGGGGGGGGGAGAGAGATTTCCGAAAGGCTGCACTTAGTCCTGGATTTTAGGCAAGTCAATAGGAAAATCGCCTTTTTTTGGTTTTTGGTCCTGGTTTTTATTTTTTGAAATATGGCAACCCTACCCGATCCCAAGCAGATAATAATCAAGAGGCAATAGGGGCTGGATAAGAAGGCAGGAAAGACTTGGAGGAGGAGCACAGAGAAGACTGCGATGCAGCCATGGATGGCATTTGCACTCAATGGCATCACTGTTCCAGCAGACATTGGGTAAATGTGCAATGTGTTAATTGTACATATCAATGCATTTTTATCTTTTGTAGCGTTTTCTATTTTAAAAGATTGAAAGGAAGTCAACAGGAAAGGCTGTGTTTTCCTTTATTCTTGATTAGCATGAATACAGAATCCCAGAGGGGGCGGTACTGCTGTCGCTTCTTAATTTCCCTGGTCTCCCAAAGCTGTTATGAATGGGGGCAGTAAAGAGACTCCGTTTGCCCAAGGCAAGACTCTTTTTGATAAAGAAATGGAGAGAGGGAAGATCTAATGCAGGTGGAAGGCAGAGCTGCCTTTTCCCTACGGAGAGTGTCCTTCTACCAGTGCAGGTAGTCGGATGAAGTGCAGATGGTAAGTAGAAAAAGCCACTTATTGCTCCAGCAGTTATGAACTCCTGCCTAAATATTTCTAGGTCTGTTGAGGAAACTGAAGAGTCAGTACAGGTTGTGCCAGAAACAGCCAATTCTGCATGTTTGAGCAAGGTGTAGTTTTCTTAGAAACTTTTAATCTTGGTGTGGGTTTCTTTAAAAAAAAAAGGAAAAGGTTGTGCAAGGTCTATTTTCACTAGGAAACAAGAACATTATCAATGCAAAATAAACCCAGTAGGGCCTAGCCTATTAGTTATGTGTAGGATTGTGCTGTCTTGTCTTGCAGAAAAGAAACAGGAAAAAAAATAATGCATCTGGTTAAGTAGACTACGTGAAAGGTATGTCATAAGCTTGTTCATCTTTATAGTGCCACAAGAATCTTCACAGTGATGGATTTGCACACAAGCTAAGTAAACTATAGTTTAAGGTCTCAGATTATGAGGGGCCTTTAAATAGAAAAAAAAATTACAAGAAAAATATTGAAAGAGTTTAAAATTCAATGACATGTGCAGAACACACACCCAGTGCGTGGTGTATTGCTTCTCCAATTTGCTAAGTTATGTGTGTAATTGCTTGTTTATTTCAGTAATGTTTAAAGTTTTCAAATATGCCAAGTAAGAAGTCATAAGATATTTTTCATTTAAAGGTATTTTGTATGCAAATGGACATGTTTTAGTTAGGTTTTTAATTGTCAATTGCATCTTTGCCCAGGTACCGGTATACATGCAAATATAAAAGTTTATTATTTCTATTTTCATTGTCCTTTCTGCTAGAATAATTCAAATTTTTGCAGCCTGATAAATGTGACAGTTTAGGACTTTTCTCAGCAATCATGCGGTGGGAAATTATATTTTTCATTCAGCTCAAATCTTGTTTGTGTCTAATCTTTATTCATGGGCAACCACATAATTTATCCATGAATTCGTTGGCTGAACTGATCTTAAACCATAGCTGTTCCTTAGAGCAACCAAAGCCATTCCTAAGAGCAGTCTAGGGCCTTCTTTCAGGGCTTTTAAAAAAGAATTTTTTTGTTCATATGTCTGTTTTTAATCTTCCATTTCTTTCTGTAGTTCTATCTATGTGATAAGTCAGAAAACTGTGTCATGCTGAACCCACTTTAGAGCAGGGGTGACCACAGACCACACCCAGCTTTCTAACCTACAGGAAGTGGTCCATCAGCCCTGCAGCTGATCAGGAGTTAAAGTGCTCTGTCAACTCTTTAGAGTTTGCAATCAGCGGTTGCTCCTGTTCCTTCCAGTAGTGTCATTTGTACATTTTAGAGTGGAGAAGGAGATTGCAGACTCACTTAGGTTAGACTTTACTAAGTGGTCTGCAGATAATAGGACGATACCTAAAGGCTGCTGAGACAAAGAAACAAATAACGACCGATTCCCCAGTTTTTATAAAATCTATTAGTTACTCACACCTGTCTCCAGTTTGTATAACAGCAAATCCTGATTTGAGGCAGTGTACTAAAGATGCCCATAGATTCCAGTTTTGGTGGCATTTTGTAGTGGACTCCATTTTGCAATAGATCTCCAAATTTACTGTGTGGCTTTTCCCCCTTTAATACAAACTAAACCCATATTTCTTCTCTATAGTTGTCTGAATTTGTGTTATTCAGATTTGATTTTTGTAATGTCAAATTAACGCAGCTTTTATTTTTCAAATCCCTGGTGGTGGCGGCGTGTGTTTTTCCACATCCATGTTACTGCTGTATTGCGCACACACCAGTTCTGTTAATTTTTAAAAGGACCCGTAACTGAGATGTCATCTTTACCAGAAGCATACTGTTCTTCAGGAAGTGCTCAGAGTCAGACATTTCAACCTCTTTTAACGTACTGAAGTTGATGCGAGTTGATATTTTTGCAAATCCACAGAAAAAGAGCAACTGGACCGAAGTTGACCTCAATATCATCAATAGAAAAGAAGACGAAAAAGATCTAAAACTCTGATCCTGTGTGTACTTACTTGAGAGAATAATCTTTCAACAGAGAAGTTTGTAAAATAAATCACAGCAATCATGCCTGGAAATAGAAGGTTAAGGTAAGATTCCAGGACAAACTCAGCTCTCAATTCTAAACACACAGAAGCAGATGATCCTACTTATTACTTGAAAGTAAATCGCACCGTGACTGAATCCAAATTAAGCATGCAGAGGATTGTAGTCATCGCCTGATTCTTTGCAGACAGTAATGCTGGCAGAAAAAGCCAAGTTAGGCCACAGGCTTTAAGCTGATGCTTTCTCCCTCTAAGGCAAAGGTTAAGGGCTAGGACAGGCAGGCTCAAGACACCAGAAATTCCTTATGTTCAGCATTGTCATAAAGTGGACTTTGCACTGCATTGAGAGCTTGCAGTCCAAGGCAGTGCACTACCAGCGACCCACAATCTTCCCCTTTGCCTCAGTCACTGATTTGTCTTGGTCTGGTGCTTATTAAGGTTCTGGGACATGTTCTCAATTGACAGGGCAAGCCCGCCATTCCAGAAACAATATAGTGCTTCTTCCAGCACTGCAGGTAGGGGCGCTTTAATTTCTGCTGTCTAGCTGCCTTTGTGGGAGAGCTGGCTCTGCGTATATTTTTGTCTCCAGGAACACCCGGCAGTCTGGCTAGCAGAACTGCTGTCTTGCAAGTTGGGGCCTGCTGTTGCCAAGATTAAGTGCCCGATAGGAAACGGGAAATGTACATTCAATGGAGGAGGTCTTGGCGTCCACTATATTAAGCTTTCAAGCGGAGTAATCAGTAGTTGCATCCCACTGACCTCCTCCAGTCATTTGCCCTCCATCCGATTATATGAAAGGTGGAGCAGGACCTCTGAAGTGGGGATCCTGGGTCTGCATCCAAGGACTCCCAACCCTGCAAAGTCAGGGTTCAAGATTGTTCCGGGAAGCTATGCCCATATAGCCAGGCTTCCTGCCTCAGACCTGCTTTATCCCATATCTGTCAACCTTCCCTTTTTTTTGTGGGAAATTCCCTTATTCCAGCGCCGTTTCCTGCTGCTATCCCGGATTGTTAGATATCCCGTAGACTGTCCCCGGGCCAGGTGAGGCTGCTGATCCCTTATTTTCAAATCTGAAAGTTGACAGCTATGCTTTATCCCCAGGGTGGTGCAAGTGGCAGGGATATTTATGCAGTCCCCTCACTTGCCTTCCCCTTACATCTCATAGAAGCGCAACCCCAGCCCTTGCAGCTTCGTGAGACCTGGGCCCTGTAGCTTTAGCCTCATCTATATGCATGCAACAGGTATGAGGTGTGCTATTTTGGACTGCAGCTGAGGTGTGCCATTTTGAATGCTCCACAGCAGGGGTAGGCAACCAAAGGCCCAGGAGCCAGATGTGACCCAGTCACCTCAATCCGGCTTGCAGATGGTCCGGGAATCAGCGTGTTTTTACATGAGTAGAATGTGTCCTTTTCTTTAAAATGCATCTCTGGGTTATTTGTGGGGCCTGCCTGGTGTTTTTACATGAGCAGAATGTGTGCTTTTGTTTAAAATGCATCTCTGGGTTATTTGTGGGGCATAGGAATTGGTTCATACTTTTTTTCAAAATATAGTCCGGCCCACCACATGGTTTGAGGGACGGTGGACCGGCCCACGGCTGAAAAAGGCTGCTGACCCCTGCTTCACAGTGTGTTGTTCTTGTGGTTGGTTGTGGGGTTTTTTAAAGGCCTCCCTGCAAACAGAAAAGTAGCACACCAGGGAGAAAGATTCTGATCCCCACCTCTTTGCCTGTTGTGCTGCTTTTCTACTTTCAGGGAGTTTTGTAACATAATGCTGTATTATTTTACTGTTGTTAGCCACTCTGAGCCCAGCTTCGGCTGGGCAGGGCGGGATATAAATAAAATTTTATTATTATTATTATTATAAGTAAGCATTCAAAAAGGAGATTGCCACCTGCAGCCTGCGGCGTGTGTGAATCAGGTCTGGTGACCACAGCTATCTTTTGTCTTGAATCTAAGCAGATGCTCTTTGCAACCAAAATAAAGTGCATAACAAATGAACTTATTTTTTTTAAAAAAAGAATAGTATAAAGTGAGAAATATTGGGCATGTTAACCACCTTTTAAAGCCACTTCAGCCTGGTTAATGCTGTAATTTGCCTAGCAACAAGTTGCCCTCTGCTGCCCCCTAGTGGATGACGAGAATCAGGACATGTGCTGTCAAAACATGTTGGTAGGTTTTTCTTTGAAAGCGGAGGGCTCAGCTAAGGTGCAAATGCCATTTACAAATTAACATTCATAGAATTGTCGGGGATGGGGAATCCTTAGCATAAGCTGTTGCATCTTTCTGCCGTAATGAGAAAAGTAATGGAACTTCTTATTCGTCGCTACCTGTCGTATTACTAGTGGCTGTTCCTACAACAAATGCTTGCTTCTCTTTTGACCAGGCAAGAGCTTGACAGATGTTGGGAGAAACTAATTGCATGGTGCTGAGACAATGCTCTTCAGTGCCCTCCAGCCTTTGACATTGATAGGTGGAAAGCTACTAATTGCAAATCTTACTCCTTAACAACGGGAACAGCAGGTTGCTGCAGAATTCATGAAAATCGCTTTGAACCGTGAAGGAGTAATTTCTTTAACTCCTTCAGACCAAGAGTAGGTTAAATGTAAAGAAACTGGAAGTATATACTGTAGGCCAAAACTGTAATGTGAATAAGGGCTGCCTTCTTCGGTGAGCCTGAGCCTTTAAAAGCTTTTTGTGATGGGCAGAAATTCAATAGGGTAAGGATTCTCTCTCGCCACCTCCTAGCAGACGCCCAGTAACGAAAATGCAAACAGGATGAAAGTGTCACCTGTTGAACTTCTGCCTTGTTTTCCTTTAATTCTGCTGGTAAAATCATAGGAGCACTGTTATAAAAGGGGGGGGGGAGAGAAGAAACTGGATAACTGAATATGGAACACATTTCAGATGTGGATTATTATTATTATGACCTTGACAGACCTTGACCTCACCTGGAGTACTGTGTCCAGTTCTGGGCACCACAGTTCAAGAAGGACACTGACAAACTGGAACGTGTCCAGAGGAGGGCAACCAAAATGGTCAAAGGCCTGGAAACGATGCCTTATGAGGAACGGCTAAGGGAGCTGGGCATGTTTAGCCTGGAGAAGAGGAGGTTAAGGGGTGATATGATAGCCATGTTCAAATATATAAAAGGATGTCACGTAGAGGAGGGAGAAAGGTTGTTTTCTGCTGCTCCAGAGAAGCGGACACGGAGCAATGGATCCAAACTACAAGAAAGAAGATTCCACCTAAACATTAGGAAGAACTTCCTGACAGTAAGAGCTGTTCGACAGTGGAATTTGCTGCCAAGGAGTGTGGTGGAGTCTCCTTCTTTGGAGGTCTTTAAGCAGAGGCTTGACAACCATATGTCAGGAGTGCTCTGATGGTGTTTCCTGCTTGGCAGGGGGTTGGACTCGATGGCCCTTGTGGTCTCTTCCAACTCTATGATTCTATATGATTCTATGATTATTCTTATTATTATTAATTGCCCTTCACCCAAAGATCACAGGGTGGTTTACAATATAAAAACACAAAAATACGTACCATAATAACAAACAAAAACAATAGTTCCCTGCCCCTCTGGTTTAAAAGGCCGTAGATGGTTTAATTAGCCAAAGGCCTAGGAGAAAGGGAATGTTTCTGCCTGATGCTTAAAGATATGGAAGATATGGGGAGAGCATTCCATAAGCAGGGAGTCACCACAGAAAAGTCCCCTTCTTATGTTGTCACCCTGTGGACCTCTTGTGGGGGAGGCACATGTAGAAGGACCTCAGATGGTGAGGTTTTATATAGGAAGAGGCGGTCCTTGAGATATTGCAGCCCAAGCCATTTAAGGCTTTATAGGTCAAAAGCGGCACATTGAATTGGGCCTGGAAACCAATTGGCAGCCAGTGCAGTTGGGCCGAGATCGGTGTTATATGCTCAAACTGTCTTGCCCCGGTTAGCAACCTGGTCACTGAATTCTGCACCACATGAAGTTTCCAAACTGTCTTCAGAGGCAGATTTCAGTCTTCAGAGGTTAGATTAGCATGTTGCAATGATATGACCTAGAGGTGACCAGAGCAGAGACGACAGAAGCTGATGGAAGGCACTCACTCCATGCCTCCAAGGCTGCCTGAGCCTCAAGTAACAACAAAGGATCCAGAAGTACAAAGGGGTTCACAGCTTGGGCGTACTTCTGAATGACTTTAGCCTCCCTCCACACTAGGGAATAAGGAGTGTGTGAAGATCTACAACATGAACAAGAGGGCAATGAAGGTTTACATTGGGATCTGTTGCCCCTGTGGATCCTGCTGCCTGAGGTCATCGCCTCACCTTGCCTAATGGATGAGCCGGCCCTAATTGTGAAATATGCATGCTTTTGGTAGTGACTTCTTTTCTGACAGGGACGCGGGTGGCGCTGTGGGTTAAACCACAGAGCCTAGGACTTGCCGATCAAAAGGTTGGCAGTTCGAATCCCTGCGATGGGGTGAGCTCCCGTTGCTTGGTCCCAGCTCCTGCTAACCTAGCAGTTCGAAAGCACGCCAAAAAGTGCAAGTAGATAAATAGGTACCGCTCTGGCGGGAAGGTAAACGGCGTTTCTGTGTGCTGCTCTGGTTTGCCAGAAGCGACTTTGTCATGCTGGCCACATGACCCGGAAACTACGCCGGCTCCCTCGGCCAATAAAGCGAGAGTCGGTCACGACTGGACCTAATGGTCAGGGGTTCCTTTACCTTTACCTTTCTTTTCTGACATAGGATCAAGAACATATACAACCCACCTAAATTCACAGGTAGGGAAAAACCATGAGCCAATGGTGGAAAATATGTAGAAAATCATGGGTTCAGTCTCCAGCTACTTGAGGGAGGGCTGGGGAAAATCCCTCACAGGAACCCTGGAGAGATACAATGCACCAGCAGCTGGAAAAAATCAGTGGCCTGGCTCAGTATAAGGCAGTCTCTTATGTCCACATAGCTCAGAAACTAAAGTAAGTCTCATGTTTTATTTTATGAACGCATCATCAACTTGCATTCAATTAATATTCCATGAACTTTGTGCATTTTGGGTTGAGGTAGATGATGTAGGCATTGATCCAGGCAATAAATAGAAATTTAGAGACTGGTCTTGCTCAGCAAATGCAAAATATCTGGTGGAAGATATGAGAAGGTTTTCTTTGGGGTTTTTGGTTTTATTTCCTCCCTCTAGTTTCACAATTAATAATCTCAGAGTTAGTTTTTCTTCTTTTTCTGCTAGGGCATTTCAGTAAGATGCGGTGGAACAAAAAGAAGCAGTGTGAGCTAGCACAGAGCAAAGAAAGGTACGTCCAAATTTTCAGTGCATTTCCAGATCAGTGTAAACTATTGCAATCAGCGTACTATTAAAAGCACGGTTTTAAAGATCGGATAAACATATAAACTAGGATTAAACATCAAGGTCCATGAAGAGTCTGCATTTTGAAGATGTCATCATGCTTAGATGGATGTGGTACTGTAGCTTGAGAAGTCATAATCTTCAAATTTAGAATCTACTCTTGGGAGAGGGAGAACATGAAAAGGTAAGATATGGGATGTATGAAGTTGAATAAGTGATGTATTCCAACTCTTGGGATTTATAAATTTGCTATGGTATAGAACTGTTTTCTAATCTCTTGTCATGACATCGCTTTCACTCAGTTTAATTTAGCATGATGAACACTTATACACTACTGGTTGTTGTTGCTGTTGTTTTAATTTAATTGTGCTATTCTCAACACTTTCTAGTAGAAGAGAAAAATGATGTGCTATTTGGGGAAGTTAGCATACCCACCTCCTAGTTTCAGATTACATGCTATTCATCAGGGTAGTAGAGAGTATTGCCAGACACCTCTCCATTTCTCACACTGACTATTGTTAATAAACCAGGGATGGGAAGAAGAGAATGCAGGATCTCTGGGTGATTTGCTGGAGATGGGCAAGCCAATCAGGATAAACGTTCATTGTCGTATAACCTCCCCGCAAACCAATCAGAACAAATGCTCAATAAATATCAGTTTAAAAGATTCAGTTGTTCAGTGGAAACAGAAAGTATGGATGCTGAACCTTTCTGAAAAATTAAATAAGGAAGTCAAGTGATGAGCTTCGTGGCTCAGAGATATTTTTCGTTTAAAATCCTCTTAAAAGTTCATCACATTTTAGGGCAAATTTCTCCTCATAAACACATTTTTAATATACAGTTTTGGCTAATGTACACATTTTTGCAAACTGTCCCCCCCCCCCAAATCTTCATTTTTAGGCAAACTTCCCCTAATATATGCCATTTTGTAAACAGCGTTTGGTTGGAGAATGGCACTGTAAAATTCGGATAGGTGCAAATTTCAAAGGATTAGTTCCTTCAGAAAGTATGGACTGGAAAAAGTCAGCTTCAAATGCATCCTGAATAAAATTTCTCCATCCCTAGTGCTGAGTTAGGTTTTGAACACTGGTCTTCTAGATTCTACTCCAGCAATGTAACCAATGACACCACAGTGGCTCAAAACTCCAGTGCATTTAGATTATAATCCTGTTCATGTAAATAATAATAATAATAATAATAATAATAATAATATATTATTTATACCCCGCCCATCTGGCTGGGTTTTCCCATCAGACTAAATAGCTGGAAATATATTGTTATAATACAGTTATAAATGTATCGCTTGTTTATTTCCAGGGCAAGAACTACACTTGGCTATTATGAATGTGTCCACGACTGAAACTCAAGCAAACAAATCAGATTTAATACAAACGCTAGTAGTTGTAAAAGGAAGCCTTTATTTGGCTAACTTCATATTCATAACTGCATTGAATATATTAATAATCAAGACTGTGAGGCAAAACTCTAAAATGATGAAGGAAGTGAGATACTTCCTCCTGTGCCATCATCTTCTCTGTTGCTCTTTATTCTGTTGCTCTGGCATGGTGTCCAATGTGATACAAACATTTAAAGTGCAACAATTCTGGATCTGGATCGCCTTTGGATTACAAACAGCAGTTGCAGAAGCAGTGCTGGTAACGCTGGCTTTGATGGCAATTAACACTTGCTTAGCAGTTTACTGGCCTTTGAGATACCTGGTCTTTGTACACTTGGTGAAACGCAAAGCCATAGCTTGTGTTTGGGTCGGAACACTCCTCAAATCTGCATGCTTGATCATTGTGGAACGTACAGAAGGAGATCCAAGGGACATATATGAAGCAGAGCCCTCTTGCCCAACTATCCTGGGTAGTGATTTTGCCAAAATAACCGGAAGTATTCTCATTTTCCTTCTTGCAGCCGTCATGGCAACTGCTTATTTTCTCCTGTGGAGAGAAGGAAAGCTCAGCGGTCATTTTAACTGTTCAAATAAGAAGGCCAGAAAAACAGTCATTATTCATGGTGTACAAATGACCTTCCATATTCTTCCACCCTTAATCTTTACAGCCATCGGAAATGGATCAGAACATGTTCTGATAAAATTTGGAGCTTTTGTTGTTTTCTTATTTGCACAAAGCTTCAGCCCTGTGGTTTATGGGCTGCGGAACAAAGAACTTCTGGACAAGATATGTATCAGACGAGGAAGAAATCAATACAGTAACTACTTGGTAAAGTACAACAATTACCCACCCCAACTTCAGATGGTAGAAGGTTCAGCAAATGGGTGGACCGTTTCTCAGTGTAGTGCAAAAGCACTTTCAAGTCAGCATTAGCCTTCATTAAACCATATCACACATCAAGGGATAATTCAACGCACACAACTGCATATACCAACCTATTATTTTTAAAACCAGATTTTCAGCCCCAAAGCTAGAAGCCTTGAGTGCTATATTTTTGCTTTAAAGTTTAATGGGTAACTCGTGGAAAAGACACAGCACAAGAAGTAAAGGAAACCATGGAAAAGAGAGACGGCAAGGCACTGCCAGACAGGCTACTAGAAATGGTACACTCTGGAATCTCTAGTACAGTCGTACCTTGGAAGTTGAACGGAATCCATTCCGGAAGTCCGTTTGTCTTCCCAAATGTTCGGAAACCAAAGCGTGGCTTCTTGATTGGCTGCAGGAAGTTCCTGCAGCCAATTGGAAGCCACAGAAGCCCCATCGGACGTTCGGCTTCCAAAAGAACGTTCAAAAACCATAACACACACTCTGAGGTTTGTGGAAGGAGAGGATGCAGTAGAAGACACTTCCTCATCATAATCCCAATAGTTGCCCACCAGGGTAGTATTAATGCTGCTTTGTATCTCTTTCCCTTGGCAGCCTGTAACCCCACCTGAGCACTAACAGGTTTGAAAATCAGCATGTTCATGAAAATTTCAGCAGTTCAGCCAATGGCATAGGAACAAATTTCCAAAACATCAAGTCAGGTTTTTTGTAGCTAAGGAGCTTCCAAAGGATGCAGCCAGCACATACTACAGCTTCCGCCACCTTTTGACAGATTTTCTACATATCCTCTGTGCATTGATTTGATATTTCATATATATTTATTAACCATGATAAACTATGAGAGTTATTCAGAGGCTTGCTTTGGTGCTAGTATGATTCAGATGTGTGAAACATTCTTTAAAATGTTTTAGGGCCTGGTTAAAAATGGAATGCAGCTAGTTTTGCCCCAGCCTGATGATCACTGACTTGTGATAATGCAGAAATAAGTTTTTTCACTGGCAGCACTGGTGTTGTGAAATGCACTCAATGCTGAAATGCAACAGGTCCCTTCTTTACTGGTATTCTGCTCGCTTTTGAAGACACACCTGCTTGCACAGGCAGTCCCTGATTTCTTCACCTCAGTCTCCTGTATTAATGGCAGCAATGTTTTAATCAGATTGTTCTATTGTGTGTTTTAATTATAGATGTTTATATTTTAATAGGACTGTTTCACTGTGCATTTTAATCATGGGTTTTGATACCATAAAGTTTGTGCAACTGGTTTTTACATTTTGCGAGGTCATTTTGCATTCTGCAAGAGGGTTTCTCCTTCAGGGGCCAAAGGCACCAGAAGCCCACTCCCCAGTAACTCAGAGCAGTCTTTCAGTGTGGCTGCCCCTCATTTACTTTTCAGAAACAATTTAAGACCTGTTTTTTCAACAAGCTTTTCCAGCTACATGAAAAAAAATCTGTTTTAGATAATTTTGTACTGTTTCGAAGTCTATATTTAGTAGTTTTCTGTTGTTTTTATTGTATATTTGTAAATTGCCTTGAGACACATGAGAAAGGAAATAAAGAAAAGAACAATAATGGTAACAATGATAATATAGTCTGTTTCTTATTTAGCCCACAGCCAAACAACCTAATGGTGCTCTCCTGAGGTTAAACTGCCACTTTGACCTCCTTGAAAAAGGGAGCGTATATAAATGTTGTTCTTTAAAAAAAAACAACCAGTGGTGCCATTAGTTTTCCAGCTTGGGACAACTGATTCTATCACAGGTACCCAGGTATCATTGCCTCTATGTGACACCATTTCCCTCACATAAAAATGTGACAATGCGAAGTCTGTTGTTAGGCTAGCACAGGCTTCCTCAACCTCAGCCCTCCAGATGTTTTGAGACTACAATTCCCAGCATCCCTGACCACTGGTCCTGCTAGCTAGGGATCATGGGAGTTGTAGGCCAAAAACATCTGGAGGGCCAAGGTTGAGGAAGCCTGGGTAGCAGACCTCCATTCTTGATAAACTTCATGACCTTATATCAAAGAAACCCATGACCTCATATCAAAGAAACTGCGCTTTTTACATGGTTGAAACATTCCAAGTCAATAAACTCGGAGCAAAATTTTTTTTAAAACCCTGCACATTCCTCTTGCGATGGGTGCTCAGTCCATGAACCATACCATTTCATGCAATTTCAATAATACAGTGGTACCTCGGGTGAAGAACTTAATTCATTCTGGAGGTCTGTTCTTAACCTGAAACCATTCTTAACCTGAAGCACCACTTTAGCTAATGGGGCCTCCCGCTGCTGCCGCACCACCGGAGCATGATTTCTGTTCTCATCCTGAAGCAAAGTTCTTAACCCGAGGTAATATTTCTGGGTTAGCAGAGTCTGTAAGCTGAAGCGTCTGTAACCCGAGGTACCACTGTATGCGTAAAAGCAAAGTTTGGCTACGAACATGTCACGTTTCTTATGTAAATGTGAATATATAAAGCAGCCCTATATGGGGTCAGACTGTCCACCTACTTTGCTCTTGACTACAGTGACTAGCAGCTGCTCTCCAGGGTTTCTGCAGTGTGGTGGGCCGATGCTTGGGACGGGGCAGGATGGGGGAGCATTGAGGGCTGGGCTGCATAGGTGCACTTGTGAGGCCAATCCTCCGCTGCTGCTTGCTCTTGCCACTACCCTACCCCAAACCAGCCCCCAGGTAGGCTGCAGTGATACCAGGGGCAGGACAGCAACTCCTCACTGCACTGGCTGCTCCTGGGTTTTGGACAGGATTCTTTCTCCCTACCTGGAGATACCAGGAATTGAAACTTTTGACTTCCTGTATGCAAAGTTTGCTCTCTACCACTGAGCAATAGCCATAGCTGTCAACTTACAGATTTGAAAATAAGGGACCAACAGCCTTGAAAATAAGGGACCTGCAGCCTCACCTGTTCCAGGCACTCCAGTCTTCCTGTCCTCCTGCAGTCTGGTCAAACTCATGCTGGTAGCTTCGAGAACACTGTCCAACCAACTTTGTAACCAGAGGTTCAACTGAATAGAATCTGAATCACATGCACCACAAGGCCTATGCAGCCTCAACTTAAGATGGCTCCCCGGCCTGGCTTTGCACTGTAAAGTTTGCAGCAGCACGTGCAACAAAATGGCGCCCAGCATTCAAAAAACCCCTCAGTTTGCATTAACTAGCCGCACACAAACAGCCTCCCCCCCTCCCACAAGATCTCCTTTCCTTTCCCCCGCTACAGACAGACCTTTTTGCCGGCAAGGGTGAGTGGGCCGTCAATGACGTATCCATCCGATTCCGATCCAAGCACTCAGCACAGGTATGTTCAACTTCTGAGCCCCTCTGAGCCAAAGGCAGAAAGCCCAGCCAGCAGCCAAACAAAGCCTCAAGGAAAACCACCGTCACCTCTCCGCTGGGAAGCGCTGAGCAAAGGCGAGTCCCCAGGGAACGCAGCCGATTTGATCAGCACAAGGCATGCAAGCTCCACCCCCCCAGTCATTCTTAGACTTCTTATTGGGTAAGCAACACAGCCAAGCAACACAGTTGGAGCCTCCCTCCTCCCTGGCCGGCAGGGAGGGAGGGAGAGGAGCTGCTTCCTTTGAAATTTAAGGGACATTTAAGGAACATCCATCAATAAGGGACAGCAGCGGGACATGGCGCTGGAATAAGGGACTGTCCCTTCAAATAAGGGACACTTGACAGCTATGGCAATAGCATACCCTCCAATGTTCCTCAGATGAAAATAGGGACATTTCTCACTCCCTCACAACTAAGCCTCCTCGACCCCCAACATTTTTGCCTCTCCTGTGCAGAGCCTTTCTGTAATTATGGCTAAGGAAAAAAGCAACAGTCTGCCCTGAGTGACACCAGCCATTATGTTTAATGTGTCACTTGGGGGGGGCAGGAATCGCTTATGTGTTCATTTCCTAGGCCTCAGCCTCTGACACTAGGATGACTCAGCAGAGCTTTGCAGGGCCTTTGGTATCTATGAGGAGCCACCTCAGAGAATTATGTTAGCTGTGATTGCAACTGGAGCAGAGAAGAAAGAAAGAGATAACATGGGAACAAGTGGAAATTAGATTGACGAGGGAAAGTAATGAAGGCCGGCGCAGATTAGAGTGAAATTATGCTTTACATCTGACACGTTTGTCAGGGAGCAACAGCAGCTGTAATAAACACGAAGCGTTTAGCCATTGTTCTGATAGCGGTTTAGAAATAAAAGCAGGATGCATAAACCGGAGAGACGGAACTGTTGTCTGGAAAAGTTTATTATGACTCTCTGCAAAAAGGAAGCAAAGTAAAGCCACTCCTTGATTGTAGTCAGGAAGGACAAGGCTATGAAAACTTGATCCTAGCATTACATTCAAGAGATGTCATGATATTCAGACACAGTAGCGTTTTCCAGTTTTCCTGCACTCGGGATTATTTCTACATCAGGTAGTGTGCTGAAGAGCCCCTTGCAACTGACAAGGCATTTGATAAATTTCATTATTATATTATTATTATTATTATTATTATTATTTATACCCCGCCCATCTGGCTGGATTTCACAACTTGTTTTATGCACATTGCAGACCCTCCAAGTGCCCTTATTTTCCCAGGATGTCTCTGATTTAGAGAAGTCTTCTCGGTTTCTGATTTGATCCCGGAATGTCCCGCTTTTCCTTAGGAAGTCCCTATTTTCATTGGAGGGTATGGAGTTATCTGACCCCTGAGCCGTCTGAAGGCAATCCTGTATAGGGAAGTTTTGTTAATGTTTTATTATGTTTTTAGATATGTTGGAAGCTGCTCAGAGTGGCTGGGGCAACCCAGTAAGATGTGTGGGGTATAAATAGTAAAATTATCATTATGGAACATAACGTCTCTATTTTCATCAGGTAAATGTTGGAGGGTATGACATTGGACCAACATGTGATATGCGCTTTAAGAAAATAAGATGCGCCTTGTAGCATAATAATAATGAATAAAATAAATAAATCCCAGAAGATCTCAATGACTAGGTCATCTTCTCCGAACAAGCTTTTCATTTTAGAATTTCACTGACAAACCCACAAAAGAACAAGGTCGAAAGAATAGGGACAGCATTATCCTCCATACCTGTGCATTAAGTATATATCCTCTGCTAAGATCCACACACCTTTTATGTAATTACACATGACTCGTGAAGTGTAATATCTACCTTACCTGCTCGGCCTCATTTAGTGGCCAGTGCAGCTTTTAATGAGTGAATGTAGGTAAACGGTTAATACAGAATTTGTTGCAACACATACAAAAACCATCCTCTACTCCTCCAAATTGCCCAATTTAAAATAAAGAAAAAAGAAACACAAAACAATTGAGTAAAAAAATGAGATATATATTATAGAAAGAGACTCTCTGTTGCTTGCTCTCCCTTTCTCTGCCTCTCTCTGTCACAGACCAAATAAACAATAAGCTCCTCACAGGAGGAAACACTCCAGAGTTGCTTCTCTGGACTTCAGGGTAACGGTGTCATGGGCCAGGAGTCAGCTTTGCCTGCTGAACAGCAGCCTGAAGAGTGATAAGGCAGAGTGACCCCACCTGCAGCGCATCAGCCTTCACAAAAGGAGAAGGCACTGATGAGAACCAGCTGACTCTGGCCTTCTAAAACAGAGCTCTCAGCAACAGTCAGATGCTGGAAATGTCTGTTGTTCTTGGCCCCACTTTGCTGCTTCCTGCTGGACCCTTGACTCTACGTCATTTGGACTGGACACTTAGCTCTGTGATCATCTGGATTCCCTGACCTCTGGGCTGTTGGACTTCACATGTAGATTCTGCTGTCAGGCAAAGGTTCCTCAGAGACTCCTAGTTCCTGATTCTCAGCAACAGAACTCGAACGGGCTATGACAAATGGCTCTGAGCACCCTCGGAACCAATGTATGGTTCTGATATAAGCTAACTGTGTTGTTTTGTTTTATACAGTGGTACCTCGGGTTACATACGCTTTAGGTTACATACGCTTCAGGTTACAGACTCTGCTAACCCAGAAATAGTACCTCGGGTTAAGAACTTTGCTTCAGGATGAGAACAGAAATTGTTCTCCGGCGGTGCGGCAGCAGCGGGAGGCCCCATTAGCTAAAGTGGTGCTTCAGGTTAAGAATAGTTTCAGGTTAAGAACGGACCTCTGGAACGAATTAAGTTCTTAACCCGAGGTACCACTGTACTGGCCTTCTGATTCCAAACAAAATTATATTTCAGAAAGGCAGAACCCTTCAGAACACAAGCATACAAATTTAGGAGCTGCTTCTTTTTTCCCCAGTCACCAAGATCCACCAACTGGTTGCAACCAGTTTATGGTGAACACAACATTTGCTTTGAGACTTCTTAAAGAGGCAACAAACTATTCCCATAGCTGCCACACAGGGCTGTTTTCGAAGCATCTCAGTCTCCTCCCATATCTGCTACAGCAGCTGTAGGCCTCCTAGCAAGTGTTGGAGGAAGATCTCTACTACTAGGGCTGATTTTTGGGCAGCCCTATCAGTTCCGGTACATGTTTTTTCTGCTCAGAGGCACATGGGAGGGAGC